TAACTTTGTAAAAATCATTAGTTTTTCAAGAAGTTTTTCATCTCAACACTTTAAGCTAAACTTATTACCATCTATTGAAGTGTTTGTCTATTCTCTTCTCGTTATCAGTCTTGATTCTATCATTCAATAAGAATAGAAGATTTCACTTGTAAATTCATTTTGAATTAAGGGTCGTGTTGAGGTTTTAGAAAAGCTCAACATTGTAAAAATGATCGATACTCCTTAGTTGTAAGTCACCGGAAGCGTTGTAAAGGATTGGATTGCACCACAAGTCAATCAATATAGAGAAAAAGGCATTGCTTGGTAACAGTGGACGTAGATCGTTGGGTTAGATCGAACCTCCATAACATATCGTTTGCACTCTCTAACTCTCTACTTAACATTTTACTTTGTGCAAACTTATATCATACCATTTACGTGGTTATTTTCATTTAGTTTATTTCTTTATCATTTGTGTTATTATTTGTTTAAAATTTCGTAGTAGTTAACGAAAAAATTTTAAAAACCAATTTACCCCCCTCTGGTTAGCCTATCTTGGGATTACACCTTGCTTTGGGGAAAATGGCAACCTAGTGTGTAAACACGATGCCGCTAAGGTTGTTGGCTAGAAACTCCATAGCTTTGTTGAGTTTGCAGATTTTTCTTACAGTCTGAACTAACGCAGATTTGGCCCGAGGGAGTGAATCCCCTGCATTCGTTTCGGGTTGAAACTTATTCTAGGTGGCTTGTCCGTGATAACTTCTCCAATTTTGTGGGTGAAATGAAGATGTGAGAGTGCGTTTTCATGACTATTGTTTGGATCTATGATTACGAGTTATAGACATAGTTGTCTGTGATGTTTATATCTATGTTTTTTTTTTTTAATAATCGTGGGTCTCGAGGTCAGTTTGTACGCACCTCCACTAATCTCACGAGTACATTTATGTTGATGCAATACTGTGTTTCAAGGATATGTTGATTGCTAAATTTCCTTATAGCAATTTTTAAGGTCAACATTTTTGAGGATGCAAGTTTCAATGGAACCAACCAAATAAATTCCTGTGTTATGATTGGAAATTTGTGAACCACAAGATCTGTCCAGACTGTCCTTTTCCTTTTAGCCCCAATTTGGTTTCGATAAATCAAATTTTTAGTAAATTTTAATAGAATTTGATGAAATATATATTTGAAAAAATGATGAAAATTGTGGATTCGATAAAATTGGTGATTGAAAGTGGGTTTAAGAAAAAAATGAATTTTAGAAAATAGGGGTTAAACAAGATCTTATTCTTTTATTGGGGACATGGTAAATGTCATCCACGATCACCGAACTTTTATCGAAACTAGAACTGAGTCATTGAATTTAAATTCATCTCAATTAAGTCATTAAATTCTAATTTAATTTCAATTTAAGTTATTGAATTTAAATTTTAGTACATCTGTTGTATCCCAATATTTACGAAAAATTGTTTAATTGGAAATCTCTCAGCAACGAATCTTCACTTAATCGCCGTGTGACATACGAAGTCACCACCGCATTATTAGAGGATGATAGATGACAAAATATGATAGCAAGATTAAATTTTAAACTAAATTCAATTGAAATAACATTAAACTTTAGTGATCCAATCCTGTCCGCAAATCGATTTACGGTTTAGTACTTTATCAAACCTTTTTTTTTTACTTGGTAACAAATTGCACGACATGTGCTGCTTAATAAAAAACAATTATGTTAGTTGTACATTAAGATTGACACTGTGTAATGCATCAAAATTTGTGTCGTAGATTGTTTAAAACATTGTCAACATCTATGTGTAAAAAATTGTCAACTTACCACAATATCAAACTTGATATTAAAGTTGATATACATATAGCAAGATTGAATAAAAAATCTCATCTCTTTTGTTATAATTATGCTTCTTGTACATCAATTGTTGACATCAACTTTGACATCCCATCTATGGTCATTAACACTCCGTATTGGATAACAAAAATCTATAGATACTGTTGGGAGAGCCTTTTGTTAATTCAAATCTACAAACTCAAATCATATCACCAGCTTTTCAATAATAATTTAAACAACCCTACCATGCTGTCATGGAGGGTTTGACACCCTCCCGACAACCCCCTCACAATAGGGGGTGGAATTTTATTTATTCACATGGTTCCAGCGTGTGTTCCACTCCATATGAGTGAATTTCAAAAAGGGTGACAAAATCCTTTGAAAAACAAGTTAAAAATTGTTGAATGGAAAAATGGCAACATTGGTCCTTAAATATTGTTCCAACAACGAGTTGGTTCTTGCTTTTTTAAAATGGAACAATTTAATTTTAACTTTTAATTCTTGTTATATATTAAGGCCTTAATTTCCAAATTTTCATTAAATTATCACGTGACATTTCGTACAAATGATTTTCGTTTTAAGTTTTTGGATGCAAATCAAAGTTGAAATGCAAAACTTAACTTGGTAAAGTATGTGTGCAAGGGATATTTGACAATTTAACAAAGAATTTGGAAGATTTCCATTACAAGACATTGTTTTGAGTATGAGAAAATATTGTCAACCAAATAAGGATGGTTTTATAAAATTTGATCATTTATAAATTTTGACAAAAGGAAATCAAAAACTCGTAGATCCAATAATACTTTTTCTTTATTACTCATTTACGTTAAGAGTCTATAAACCGATCAAATTTCATTGTTAATTATACATTTTATGAGTTTAATCATTCTAAATTTAAATAGATTAAAAAACATAAATCAGAACTTTTTAAGATCGAATAACGCTACTCTAGAATAAATTGGAAAGCCTTACCTTAAGCTCGTGTATGGATTAGTTAAAAATTAAAATTAAAATTAAAATTTGAGTTAAATTCGATAATTAATTTTAATCATGCATTTAACAGAATTCACATTTTTTCGACTGTACATTCCATCAACTTTTATTTAAACCTACTAAAAATTTAATTTTAATCTGATTCAAACACGAGCTTTTTTTTTTTTTTTTTTCATTTAAAGAGCATGTTTGAACATTAAGTCCCATTCTTTTTTTTTTTTTTTCTATTTTTCAATAGAAAATCGTCAAGTGTCTTCACTAGAAATTCTATTAGTCCTTTTCTTTACGCAAAGCGGAATTGTAAAAAATAAGAATTTTTTTGAATTTTCGTGTTCGGTAGAGATTAAAATCGGATAAACATTAAAAATCACTCGTTATTGTTGATTTTTATTAGACGAGTGAAACTCAATAACGATTATATTTTTAATTTTAATTGAATTTTAAACACGATCGAACACGTTCTTAATATTATCTTTCTATATATAAAAAGTGCCTATTTAACGGAATTTGTTGGTTTAACGGAAAAACTAACAAAATTTGTTGTTTCAACGGATTATGTAACGGAATTTCTTGTTTTAAACAGGCAGCTGCACCTTCTTTCAATATTTTTATCATAACTTTGTATTCCGATATTCGATTGAAGCGATTCAAAATGCATTGGAAAGCTAACCATTTTCATACTTTGTGCAAACTTATATCATACCATTTACGTGGTTATTTTCATTTAGTTTA